GCTTCATTTTGGTCGCACCATCTTACAACTGAGTGAAGTCTTCTCTCCATGTTCCTTGCCATCTGAAGTCTGTCATCTTCGTGCTCGCATGCCATTATGTCATCCACAAAGCTCAGGACACGTCCAGATTCTTTCTGATGCATCGTTACCTGTGCAGTGTACACATTGAAAAGCACAGGAGAGACAGGAGAGAGGGGGGATCCTTGGGGCAGTCCTGAAGCAATTGATACCGGATCTGAAGTTTCAATCAACTTGCTGTCCAAAGCCTTTCCCTGACCATGTTCGTTGACATTGCCCCAGGCCGAGCTTCTGGCAATATAGTCCCCAACGATCAGGACAACATCTCCAAGATCGCACAGCTCATGGAGAAACTCCCAGTCATCTTCCTTGACAAGTTTTCCACCTCTGGCATAGAGATTGACAATGACCCCACCTCTGGCATAGAGATTGACAATGACCCATGACCTGTTGCGGATTGTTAGCTCGAGTGCTTGTAGCTCCCTGTCCTCCTTGTCCCAAGCAGAGACATCTCTTACACGGTGCTGGATACCATTCCTAACAAGTGTGGCCAGTCCATGATGAGTCCGGCTCACCGGGTTGATGTACGACGTGTACCCAGGACATGACAAGGTTTTAGCATTGGTCTCCTGCAGAAAAAAGAGATCAAAGTCATAGGCGGGCTTTTCCAGGTCTCTTCCTCTTTTCCTACCACTGCGGCAATTCCAATAGCCAACGCAGACGTTTTTAATTTTGAGCCTGTCTGTTATTCCCTGATTCCTCCTTTTCCCTGCCCTTCTTTTTCTGGCTCCTCCTCTCCTTCCTCTCCTCCTTCCTCTCAGTCCTCATCAACGATTCTGGACAAAGCATCGCCAAAGGAGCACGTTCTCCGTCGCTCATGCACTGTTTCCGTTTTAGATTTTTAAAATTTGTATTACTCATGTTTTGTTTTTCTAAGGTAGGGAAGAAAACTGTCACCCTGGCAGAGCCCTATACCAGGGAAGGGACAGGGGATGTCTTTACAGAGTCCATATGCCTGGCGCCGTCCCTCTTGCTTACCAGACGCCCACGTTAGCGACTACTGAGTTCCGAACAAAAAAACAAAAATATGCTGGAAAATATAAAAAATGGTGTGTACCAGGGACGAAAAGGCATAAACTGATAAAGTAAAGGGCAGTGGACCAGGCATTGGTTCATTGGTTTCAAAAGGGGTAGGCCATATCTATTTCTATGTCAAGCCAAATTATTCAGTTAAGACTGAGGACTACAGCATTAAAATTTAGAAATTAAATTGCCATGAATCCATCACGCACGTCGGTTTTGCTTCAGGGGGCATAATTCCTGTAAATTTTGACCTTATTGTCTTACTTGTTTATCTTCCTTGGTGCAGCCTAGAATTTGTCCATTGCAAAATTCATACATAACGAAAAGATTTCTATGTCCATATTTCAGTTGTAGTTCAAAAAGTACCAATGTGGACTGTGACAGTGACACGACGCTTTAAATTTTTGAAAAAGGTGTGTCTCAGTGGGGATTGTGATAAGATACTTTGTTGTGTTAGTTAATGCATCTGTGTGAAAAAATTAACATCCAGGAATAGCACATTGCTTTTTTTGCAATTTTCAGGTATAGGCATTTTATTTTTAACCCCAAAAATAATCTCTACCACTGTACTAGCTACCTACTAAGGTCCTCTCTTCACTTGTCTTGGTCCGCTAGAATAGGCTAATACTAACAAGGTCACCATAGCAGAGACTGTGCCCACCATTTCGGAACTTCACGGTGACACTAAAGATGGTTCCAGTAGGGAACGGGATAGCGGGTGCCCACATCCCTCGTGACTCATCAGAGCAGAGGAAGATAGGACTAACGCTAACATTATTATTTTTTTTAAACAACAACAATCAAATAACAGAAGCATGTTTTCTTATAATTATAAACGTAAGCACCATCCCACATCATCACTTACCACCACCATCACCGTCATTTCTAAGGTCATCATTGCTCTCAGATCCTTCACAAACATCTATAATTATCTTAAACATCTATATGTAACAGTTATATGTCATAACAAATTTGTACGTTATACATTATTGGGCACTCTCATACGCACATTTTTCTACTAATCAGATGGCGTCAATATCATAGACATGGGCAAGGGACCAAAAAAAAAAAAAAGAAAAAAAAAAAAAAAAAAAAAGGTATAGGCATTTGACTCATTCCGGTTTCAGGTTTTTGAACCTGTCAGTGCGTTCACTCATGATGGTATTTATTCAAATTATATTACATTAAGCCTTATAATTACCTAATTATTTCCGCACTTTGGACCAATATCAGGAGTTTCAAAGAGTGGGGGGAGAAATGCCCCCCCATCCCCAAGATGAAAATTAGAATCTGGGGAGATACAGGGAGCTGGCCCCCCTACTCCCCCCCCCCCCCCCTCCATCATTTGATGTTTTCAAGTAGTTTGTGGATGTTCTTGAAAGTAAGACTAGTTAAATGCCTTTCAAGGGGAAATAGAGCAGCTCTCACGATAAGAATACTTTGCCTTGAAAATGAGTAGCCTAGATATAATATGACGCTGGTCTAGCAATTCAGTTGTATTCTTTTCAACTGAAGAAGTTTAGACAGTCTCAACACCCTCTTTGGGGGCTCTCGTGGCCTAGAGGTTAAGGTGTTGGCCTCTCATTCAAAGGTCCCGGGTTTGAATCCGAGTAGCGACCGAAAAATTTTCTTCTCTAAAATTGTCTCCTTTCACCTCCTTTCCTGCTCTCTAGCAATGTTCTGTTGTCTGCTTTCATTTCCACTTTCTGCCCCCAGCCCCTCACCTCCTTTGCCCCCCCCCCCCCCCCCCCCCCCCTCTGGGCTCCTGACTCTTTCTGCAGCCTTTCTACTTCTACTCCTTTGCTTTTCCTTACTGCTGTCTTTCTGCCACACCTTTGACCTTCTGGTAGGAAAGATCTACACCTAGCCTTCTCGGACAAGGGCGAAAAATCTCGGAGGGCCCGTGTGCAAGTTGTGCCCATTAAAGATCCCTTGGTGGTCTAGAATCGATAAGAGTAGGCTTCAGCCGCCACCCGGACAAAATTCCAAATTTCCTACCAACTGAAAATATTCGATGTGTCCTGCGCGCTCATATGACCTTATGCAGTTGTGAGCGCTGTAAAACACTTTACAGAAACAAACACCCTCATCAATATTATATATATGACGTCGGTGGCCTAGTGGTTAGGCTCTCAGATTTGCAACCGTAAGGTCGTGGGTTCGAATCCTGCCAGGGACCTGACATTGTGTCCTTGGGAAAGGCACTTTACACGAGTAAAGTATTCCTCACTTCACCCACAGTGAAAGGTCTTGTCGGTTTATTAGTCTTTGAGCTCTTAATCAGCTGCTTGCACTGTATGTTTCCCAGGAAGCTGAGAATGTTTTTGTGTGTTCTATGGTCTGCTGGGTTTATAATATAGTGTATAGTGTATAGAGTTTGCTGCTGAACGGGGTTATGCGCTATACAAATGCTATTTTTTATTATTACTATTCTTATTATAATTGTAATGCAGTTGCAAGGGCCGTAAAACACTTACCGAACAAACAGTAACCAATGCAACTGTTCATTGAAACAATAACAAATTATACATCTATTGTGGATTGAATCTTTGGGAGGCCATATATATTAGAAATGAGACACAACTTTCGATTCCTTTTTTTAAAACCTGGCCAACCCTTCTTTTCAACGTGACTCAATCCTGCACATCTGCCTGTCTGAATAAATTTATACATCCTGGTTTAGAGAGTTGCTGTTCTGAGATAGTCAAGTTCTGCTTAAGAAGGAGATGTTGTACTGTTATGCAGTGGGAATAGTGAGATTGTTTATAGATGGCACAGAACAGACTGTAATACTCTTGTTTATAGATGGCACAGAACAGACTGTAATACTCTTGTTTATAGATGGCACAGAACAGACTGTAATACTCTTGTTTATAGATGGCACAGAACAGACTGTAATACTCTTGTTTATAGATGGCACAGAACAGACTGTAATACTCTTTAACATTCAGAGCAGTGTTAATGAAGACACCAGAAGAAGTCACATTTTGGAGACCTTTTGAAATTTTTTTGCCTGAGTATTTTCAAAAGCCTATGTTTTTTAATTGCAGTGCAACCAAATGTTACAGGTCTTTATTTTGTATGACTTTTGTGGTATTTTGGTTATCTACTAAAAAAAGAAAGAAAACTTTATCTCTTCCAAACAAATTAAGTTTTTCTTTCTTTTTTTTTTCCTGAGGATGTCATTATAATAAAAAGTCCTGAAATTAGATTATTTTGCATTATAGATGAACATTGTTTCAACATTGATTTACTACCTTCTTTTTAAATAAAGTTATTTCAGTGCCAATCCCCTTGATGTTTTCTATTGCACTGCTTTTGTTCAGCTTGACAGTCTAATGGTTTCATTAGACTGTCTACTAGTCTATAACTATAGGTGCAGGTAGGGGTAGGGATGTGATAGGGTTTGGGTTTTTATCTCTGTCTTTTGTCCTATCTCAACACAGCACAAGTAGACTGCGATCAATCAAACGTCACTTATGAAAAGATGAACAGTAGACCACCTTTGTTTCTCTTTTCCACAATATTCAAATTATGGTTTTAGCAATTAAGTTTGATGGTGTTCATGAATTGACTCTTTTGTGCAGTAGCAATAAGCTGAAGATTGTTTTATTTATATGTCTGTTTCTACTTTTCACAGATGAAAATGATTTTATATCTCAACATCAAAGGAATGATATTGTGATCCAGGTTACAGTTTGGTTAATAATCATGGCCAGCATATAGGTTACTTAAGCAGACAATGCTACTCAAAGTTAGTGGCGCCAAGTTTTGTTGTTTCTGCTGTTTAGTCAGGTAAGTTATAAGTTTTAACAAAGTTTTCATAATTTTTTCATATGATTTTTTATAAAATTTTGTACAGAATGAGAATTATATGTCGTGTTTGTGTGCTCCCACAGGGAAAAAGCTATTGCAGCTACCGGCAATAAGGGGGTCCAAAGAGCATCAGAATGGTAGGCCACAAAATTCTGATTTTGTATTCTGCCCTAAGCCTTTTTTCATTTTTGCCGTCAAATTGCTAAATGGATGGCCTGATCAGTTACCCTACTTGTGTGAAAAAATTTAAGTCAAACTGTGACTAGATCTAGTTTTTGAATAAATCAAAATTGAAATTTCGGAAGAATGCTTTTTTTTAAATGGTTATGCTGACAATGCTCCTTTACCTTTTTAACTCGAAACAGCTGTGAATGTTAAAAAGATGTTTTGTCAGTGTATGGCAGTGCTATAGCTCGTTGTTGACTATGAGTACTGAGTGCAAATGACACCAAATACTTTTTTGCCAGTTTTCACTATTCTAAAAGTATCATGCATTATGATTTTGAAAGGCCCAACTTTTTGGGTCACAATTTGAACAATTCGACTCGGAACCTTCTAAAACAAAATTTATGCTTTTGATTTTAAAGGTCACAGTCAAATTTAGTTGAATTCAGTCGAATGTGCATAAATGACCTTTTTGATTTTCATCAGCAGTGAGTACTTAGTGTTATATTATCTTTGCCTTTCATATCATTGCTTTGGGCGTCTCGTTTCCTCTCATTTAGTGTTACATTCCTGTGTCATATGTCTGTTGGTCATTCTCACATCATATGCAGAAGTCCCTTTTGTGTCAATGTTTTGTCTGGACTAGTTTCATACTATTCTGTTACCTTGCCATATCTTTAAATTTCTTCCTTGCTGCGTCTTGGCTTGCCTTGTACCTGATCAGGAAAATGAAGAAAAGCATTGCCTTCATCTATCTTGCATTGTAGTATGTGAAGAATTTGACGTGTCTCCTCTTATCTTTCCTTACTTTGCTTTGTTGCATGTGAATTTGACCAATCTCCTCTTATCTGTCCATATCTTGCATTTTCAAATACAAATTTGACGTGTCTCCTCTTGTCTGTCCTCATCTTGCATTGTCATATGTGAATTTGACGTATCTCCTCTTTTCTGTCCTCATCTTGCGTTGCCATATGTGAATTTGACGTATCTCCTCTTTTCTGTCCTTATCTTGCATTGCTGTATATGAATTTGACGTGTCTCCTCTTATCTATTATCTGTCAGTCTCTTGTATTGCTGCATGTGAATTTGATGTGTCTCCTCTTATCTGTCAGAATCTTGCATTGTCACAGGCTGCTGGCACATGTGAACGACCCCGCGCTGGACAGCTGCGATGCCCGAGAGTACATCCTGTACCTGTGTCCTGTCAAGGCGCTGCGGGAAGCACTGAGAAGGTTCTGGGAGACCACCCTCCAGGTGTGTGGCTGGAACTCTGCCCACCTGTACCAGCCACACATCACTTTCAGCTCCTTTTTCAAGGTGAATGAAGTGCAAAGGGGTGGGGGGTTATTATTGTTGTTGTTATTGTTTTATGCTAATTATTAACTCACTACTCACTGGAGACCGGACCTTTTTCGCGTCTACATACGCTGAAGACTTGGGAGTATCAGGGCTGCCTAAATCTACCGATTTTTCCGGTAGATACCGATTTTGGGCCTGTTCTACTGCCATACCGATAAGATGTCAAAACCACCAGATTTGTGATGGGTGCCAAAAGAAGAAAAAAAAACCCTTTCTGCAGTGCTTCCATTCTTCTTTTTTTTTCCGGAAATCCGTTGATTCCGAAAGTTCCGTACTTGCCACATCATATTTTCACCTCCATGCGTTAGAGAGAGAGAGAGAGAGTACTTTCCTCCGTAACTTGTCAGATATTTACAGAACTCTCTGCAATAAGTTGTGTTAGAAACTGCCAGATTGTGCATTTTGTACACTCAACCATTGTGTATCTATGCCGTTAGGTGGAAAATAGTTTTTCACGTGCATATAGGTTAAAATCTGTCTACTTACGATAGATAATTTTCCTTCTTCCTTTCATTCATTCTTTCTTTCTGTTTATCTTCGGGTTTTTGCTGCGGCTAGAAAATCTGTGCATTTAATTCATTTATCTGGAAAACAGAATTGTGAATGTACAAAGAAATCGATATCAGAGCAAAACATTCTAAAATATATCTTGGTCTAGAGAATTACTCAGTACCAAATGAGGATTCTACGCAGGGGGACTGCGGGTATCTGAAAAAAAAAAAAAAAACGGCTGGGGCTGGAAAATGCACAAAGTCCTCGAAACCAAATCTGAAAAGGCTACTGAGTTCATATTTTTTCGGTTGCGTTTGTGATATTAGGTTTGGCTTTCCCCAGTTCGAGAGTACGTTTCACGCGAATAAGCGGCTATGGCGGCAGGCGGAAGTGTAAGTGTAATACTGAGAGACTCCATCGGGAAAATTAAAATCTACTTTCGCTTTCGTTACCGCTCAGAATTGTCCGATGATAGTTTGTTAACGTTAGATTTACAGTATATAAAAATTTTTAACGTGCAGTTTGTGCATAAAAAACAGTGTCGCCGTACAAATTAAATCGATATTCACACTGATGTCACTATAATGACAAAAGAAAAAGAAAACAAGCGTACTCTGATTTCTAGATTGTCGGGCCCGTCATCGTGACCGGTCAGTGAACCTGTGCACATTGGCATCGTGTGAGTACGGCATGAGTAAGGAACTGGCGAATCAGTAAAACTCTCCCCTTGTGTGTACTATCAATGTCGATTTGTACTGTAATACGTTCGTTGCTCATTGTATCCAAATCCTGCTCATTCACATTACAATCTCCTGTAACAGTATGATATGTGTCTTCAACGGAAGCGTTGTTGTTTGCATTGCACGAAGTTTGGTAAAAAAAATTGATGAAGGGGGCAACAATTCGGTGCTTACCTTGACCCCCCAAGCTCCCTTGGTCTGATGTTTCTGCTGATGCCTTGTTGATGATACCTTATCTGTACTGTATTGTCATTGCGCCAATTTTCAGCAATGTGAACAGTTGTAGGGTTTGACACATCATCCTCTGCAACACAATTGCATGAATCGACAGTTGCGAGAATGTCTGAAAATGAAATATCTGACATTGAAAGATCAAAGCTTGAATCTAAAATTGCATTGCATTCTTCCTCATTCAATCCTTTATTGTACATACTAGCAGAGGTTTTAATTTTATTATCAACGTTGTCTTTCTGTGAGTCCTGGGTGTCCACTCTCTGTGGATAGGGGGTTTATGCCTGTGGGTCTTGGCATAAGGTCAGTTTCTGTGGGTCGGGGATCGAAGGATTTCTCTTCCTTTCTGATAGCAGCAGCATTTTTATTCCTCGACTGTACACGTTCATTGTTGTAGTCTGCAATAAAACATGTGACAATCATGAGCTTCTCATTTATATATCAATAGATGCTACAATCAAAATTTAAATGGTGACTGTAGTAGAAGACAAAGTTTACTCAAACCATTATGTCATTATGTTGTTTCCCTTAATGAAATTACTCCAGTTCCTTTATTCGACTGAGTTATAGGTGAATACACAGGCTTTACTGAACTTGTCTATGTCCATTTCAAAAGGCATGTTGCAAGGCTTGTTGAATGTGTTCTGTGTTGCTGTCAGCCAATGAAGTACAGTGTCATTGTGCTGTAAGGCATCATAAGCTTGGTTACACCTTGAATGTACTTGAGTGTTATCTTTACTTTATACCTTTTCCCGATCAAATATCAAAACAGAGAGTTCAAATGCAGCATAGGACAGTTCAAATTCAACAATACGAAAACAACAAACCTGTGACGTAACTGTTATATAGAGTCAGGAAAAGCTACTCTGTCTCTTAGCAACGTTTGTTGTTTACTGTTCGCGTCTTGCCGTCCGCTGTCTAGATCTAGATCCAACCATTATCTCGTTTTATAAGATCCAGCACTTTGAAGCAATCAATCGTGGGTGGTTGACGGTTGCTGTGGTGTTGTTTGCTTCTTCTTTCCTATGAAACATCTATCCTCCTTATCTCCCCTTCTTCTTTTTTATGTTTGTTACTCTCTTGTAACACCTCTAATCTTCTGGCGCTCATATGACCTTGTGCAGTTGCAAGTGCCGTAAAACATCTACTAAAACTAAAGCAATCAATCATTTATACAACCTATCTGGAAAGAATGATACACCAACATATTGAGCATGCCTGACGAAAAATAAAAAGAGTCAATCTCGAAGATAAACGGAGAATATCGATATAGATCTTCATGGAGCCTAATTGCGAGGTGACGATTACATAATAGTCGCTAAACCAATGCAGATCAATTGAAGTATTGCATACATTCCCGAACGCCGAGCAGTTGAAACTGAAGACTTTGTTGAAAAAAAAATGCGGTTGGAAGAGATTTGTAAAGTTACCACGGGAATGAAAGATGAGTTGGTTTTAAAAAATCGAAGGTCACCCAGATCACGCTTTCGACAAAAGAAACACACGTCTTGATATGCCCTTGCCAGATGCACCTCATATCTGTCTGTCAAATGGTGAGGCTACTTTGAATAAATTTTAATGACTTATTGTAAGAGAGAGAGAGAGAGGGGGGGGGGGGGGGAGACAGACAGAGGAGAGAGAGGGGGGGGGAGAGAGACAGACAGAGATGAGAGACAGAGAAAAAACAGAGAGAGAGAAAAAACAGAGAGAGAGAAAAAACAGAGAGAGAGAGAGAGAGACTGAGAAATAGAAACATTTTCCACTTACTTCCTAGAGTAATGATAGGCTGAGAATGTTTCTGACAATTTAGACCCAGCCGTCCTTGTAATGTTGAAGGATACTGTCACAGTGCTGTGGATTAATAAAGAAAATAGGTAAAACTAAACTAAATAACACTCTAAATTTTTCAAACAAACAAAATTGTTAGTTGTCAATTTTTTAAAAACAGCAATATTGATAATAATACTCATCAGGATAACGATGTATATAATAGTAATGAATAAATACTGGCAAATGAACTTACTCAATACTTATCATACTACAGAATTTAGTATTACGTCTTGCAAAGGGTGTTAGTCCAGCTGTTGAAACCGAAGTGCAGCCTAATGTATAACGGCCAGTGTTGTGTAACTCCTGCACAAAGCGTATTTGTCTGATAGAAGACACATTGGCTTTCTTTTCAGTACAGTAAACAATGGCGCAATGTGTGTATGTCGCTGTTGCGTTTGGATTTTATTGTTTTAGCTAATTAATCTAATGTTAAACCAAACATTAATATCATTTACATTAAATAGTATTTCCAAGTCATGTGTGGGCATTACAATACATATTAAAAGAAGTAACTCACCTTAAGAGATGAAAACACTTGAAATGAACTAAAGCTTACCAGCATGGACGGCCATGTCTTGTGCTGCAGACTTACACGGTATGCAAAGTCAACATTGAGATCCAATAAGGATACACGGGTTACTCACCTGACTATTACACGCGTTTCTATTGGTTTTTGGGATTATAAATCAAAACAGAACATGCCTGCTGTGCATGTGATGCTAGATACAGCAAAAAAAACTTGTTACTATTTTTAGACTTACACGGTTTGCTTCTTTCACCGTCGATATGTGAGGCATGCTGACAAAATGAGTTACCTCCCACAATCTGCGAATGGAGATGTGGGCCGAAAATAGACGCAACAAATTTGTAGATTTTAAAGTGATGCGATTTTTTATGGAAGTTAAATATGTCTTTTATCATTTCATATAACAAACTGAACAAACTAAACCTATAATTTGACGTATATATCTGTGTCCATGAGGCTAAAATCCGAGATTAAACTCATTTTGTCCCCGGGCATCACATATGTATATTTCCCAGACAGAGATCCCTGTACAGGTTTTTCTCTCAGTATGTTCTCAGAACATTTGTGAGGCATCATGGTGAAATCAGAAGCTCATCAAAATAATGAAACCAATGAAAGCAGCATTTTTCTGACAGTTTGGAAATTTTTTTTCGAATTTTCTTTTTTTGGATCAACACCTTTTACAACCATTTATAAACACTTTTCTAGGTGGGAATTACTGAAAAATGTTGATATAGGCACAAAAAATGCAAATGTGTAGTTTCCAAGAACACTGCAGCTTTTTAAGTCACCAGACTTTGGCCACAATTTTCAAGCTAACTTTACCTCTAACGCCTGACAAACTCCACCTTCTTCAATTGCAGATGTTTCAACTTTTAATACAGATAACATTTTTGTCTTCGAAAAACAGACAAATGAACAAGCTTGATACCAATAACTCTACATCCCCAAAAATTGACGGACGCCTGATTCCCCTGAGTTGTGACACACTTGTTATTAATTGAAACCAAAACTTGAGAAGCTCAAGCTAAATTCCTGTTGGATTAAATGAAGCAAATGCTGCACCTGATAGTGTGATTAAGCAATGCTGTTCTGTGCCTTGTAGAGATGTCAGATGCTTGGCTGGAAAAGAAAAAGGGCTTTCCTTGTTGCAGACATTTTAAAACATATAATTGTGGATTGATAACAACAACATAGCGTACCTCATCATTGTCAATGTTTAAGATTTAAAAGTATTCATTATTTTGATTGCAGCTTATATGATTTCATAAATTACTCCATATTATATGAAGAATCTGAAACAAAAGCAAGTGGGTGGTTTGTGGGTGCTCTGGTGTGGTTTGCTCTTTCTTTCCTATAAAAAATCATCCTTATCTCTTTTCCTTTTTTTTGTGTTTGTTACTCTCTTGTAACACCTCTAATCTTTGGCACTTATATATGACCTATTTGTGTTTCAATAACCCTAAAACTCTTACTAAAACTTCCTAAAACTAAACCTTTTTTGTTCAGATACTTAATCTTCAGCACTTATATATGACGTAATTGTGTTTCGTTGTTGTTATGGATCCAGACCTAATTGTGTTTCAAGTGCCCTGAAACTAAAGCTGTTTTTCATTCAGATGCCCGACAGCCTCGTGAATGTGCTGGATGATGTGATGGCTACAGCTGCAGACGAGCTCCAGAAATGGCCCATGAAAGGACCCTTAGGTCTGGAACTGATCACCAAGAGCAAAAATTTCATTGGCTACTTTGTGACCGCCTCACACCACCAGTTCCTGGAACAGCTCATGATCATTCTTCAGCAAGCTTTTCACAGAGCAGGTATTATTACTATAATTTTATACATTTTTTTTATTGATCCCAGAAGGGCAATTTGGTTCACAATGGCAAACATACATAAACACTCATAAATGCATACATACATACATAAATACATACACAGATACCTACATAAATTCACAATATAACTCCAACAATTTCACAACATTACCTTTGCTGGTCGCCACTCTGCAGCGCCCAGTGTTTTTAGCAAGGGTTGTCATGTCTTGCTCAAGGACACACCTCAGTGACCACCCGTCTGATCCCTGTGTCACCAACACTTGTTTGACTTTAACTCTTGAGTCTAAACTCATTACTCGCTTACCCACTGGACTGGTATATATTTATATATTTGGCAAATACAGTGCTGTTGTTATTTATGCCGTATTAAAAAGTCCCCTTATGTCGATGAATTTTGAGAAAATCCGTTTGTCAAGAATGTGATGTATGTGAACTCTCAAGGATGGTTTTTTCCTTCTCAGTGGGCTATAGCATTATGCATAGACTGACTAACATGCTAATGGATGGCACAGCCACTCCAGTGGGGAAATATGACCTATGAAAATCTGTTTTAGGTGATAGTAAACTTGAGGATTCAACCCCACTCCCAGGAGAAGAAATTAGTTGATAATGAATGATGAATTTTAAGGTGTAGCTCCGAAAATAACTTATGGAGGTCAAGCTCATTGAGCCTTCACAGAGTGCGAATATATTAAACTATACGAGATTTATTATTATTATTATTATTATTATTATTATTATTATTATCATTGTTATCATTATTAAGGTTCCTTTCACATTCTCTATCTCCTGGAGGATTCTGAATGCTTGTCTCCCCTTCTGCCCTCAGGCGTGGAGATGAAGCCACAGATGAAACAGTTACACATGACCTTGGCCTTCCAATACGAGGAAGCGCATCACGACCTGCTCATGAAGCTGGCCCAGGAAGTGAATGCGAAGAGCGAGGCACTCTGGGAGCTCCGAATGTACTCGAGAGAGGCAACTACTAAAAATGTGGAGGTAACATTTTTTTGGTGTATTTTGTTGCCATAGTTTGGTGAGAAATAGCACGTAATGTGGATATGTAAGAGAATGAGGCTGAGGTTTGGAGTTTGTGTGAATGGCACATTACTGTGGCTTGTATTTTTACTTTGCATTTGCATAGTTGTTTGTGTATTAGTCTTTGATGCTGGTAAAAGTCATAATGAAAATTCCCAATAAAGTTTTTAAAAATTGTTTTTTCTTATCCGCCCTAACTGCGAAATGAGTAAGTTGGACCATCTATAATCATTTCAAATAGGCAGTAGGTGCAAATGTTTTAAAGGTAGGTAACTTACACTTTCTAATAAAGAGTTTCCATTGTATATATTGCATCCCTTATATAGTGGAAAAATACTTTGATTTCAAGTGAGGATGCAAGCTGTCACAAATTTTGCTGAAAAGATTTCTGTAATTTCATCTTTTTTGACATTTCACTACCTCTACCTCAGAATTACAAAGTTCTGACATTTTTTACCGTTTAGAGTTACTGAAACCATGAGGTCAGAAAACAAACGATTTGTCTGTTCTTTAAAATCATTAGAATACTCGGAGTCATTTTTAAGATATTCAAAGAATTGCATTCGAAAAAGCTTGGCATAATAATATTGTTGAACTAAAACATCTTTGACATCAAGCAAATTTCTCAAAACTAGGTATTGAGCAGATATAACTTTGTTATTCTGAGGTCTCGATGTTAAACTCGAAGAAAATGACATTAGTTGAAAATCTTACAAATTTGACCCCTTTGTCGATATTCAGCTAACCTCTCCATTCACGGATTGCGAGAAGTAACTCATTTTGTCAGCCTGCCTCGCATGTTGTTTTTTCCATTCAGTCACGAGTCATGCCGAGACTTACTCTTTTTCTTCACTACACCCACAGACCTCAAGGGTACTTAAGTGTCGGAAGTGTGTGTGGTTTCTTAACGCATAGACACTCATAAAATTGTTCATCATTATGACATTGCATGTCTTGTTCCAGGTGCGGCGGGTCATCAAAGACTATAGTCCGTTACAGGCGGATGAGCTGCTGCTGAAGGAAGAGGACTTTGTGTACATGGAGCCGGAGGAGCACGAGCGAAGCCCTGACGGTTGGTTCAAGGGCACATCCTGGACAACGGGTACCTCCGGTTTCTTCCCTGGGAATTTTACCACAAAGTGTTCTCAAATGGAGATCTGGACGTTGCACAGGTGCTTTTCCCCATCTGCACAGTTGTTACTTATTAGCTGCCCACGTGCTTTACCATTTTTATTTATCTGGGTAAGTGTTTTTTCAGCGCTCGCAACTGCATAATGTCATATGAGCGCACGAGAAACATTAGACATTTTCAGTTGGTAGGAAATTTTTTGAATTTTGCCCGATTTTTTACCACAAGGGATCTTTAACTTGTGCAACTTGTACACAGGACATCAGAGACTTTTTGCCCTTTTCCAAGAAGGCTATGTGTTAGATCTTACCTACCATAAGATCAGAGGTGTTGCTAAAAGACAGCAGTGAGAAGGAGCCACGTCATAGCAGAAAAAAGGCAGCAGAAAGAGCCGGGAGCTTAGAGGAGGGGGCAAAGGAGGTGAAGGGGTGGAGGCAGAAAATGGAGACGAAATCAGACGACAGAACATTGTTAGAGAGCAGGAAAGAAGATTAAAGGAGAAAATTATAGAGAAAAAAATTTTGCTGTTGCTCTCCGGATTCGAACCCTGGACTATTGAATGAGAGGCGAACACCTCTCGACCATGAGAGCGCCCACAAGGTTTAACAACAGGCTCTAATAGACATCAAATGCAAAAGGAGAATGCTGTGGCTCGCATATATAGTACAATTCTCAAACATTGGGAGATTTTTTTTTCTTCTATGCTTTTATTTTAGAGAAAAAGAAATTGTATTTCAGCAGGCTGCCAAATTTTTCTGTCCCTACAATCCATATTGATGAAAAATGTTATGCATGTCTTTGCATAAAGATAATGAGCTACGGCTTACCCCATTCCCCTTGTCTATGTAATATAGTACTCTGGTGACCGGATCTTGTCGTCAGTTTTCAAAAGATATCACACACTCTTCTGACACTGAGGTACCATTGAGGTCTACAGGCGGAGTGAAGAAAAAGAATGAATAAGTCTGGGTATGATTCTTGACTCACCCACATCGCATTGTGAACACTTTTTAACTTGATGGAAAAAATTGTGGTGAAAATAATACTACAATTATTTCTCCCACAGAAAGTTGACCCTCCCCTTCCACTCCACACCTTTAGCCTCGGCCAATGGTGGTGGACCGGAGAAGGAAATGGAACATTCCGGCCAGGAAGATTATGACAACCTTTGGCTAAGCGGGCGGAAGGAGGATCTTTATGCCAAAGTGAATAAATCAAAAACTGTCGTCACTCCGCGCAAACTCTTTGTCATACGACACGCAGAGAGGTGCGACTTTGCCTTCTTCAGAAAGTGGTTTGAGAAAAGCTTTGACGCCACTGGTAAGAACTGCTGTTTTGTGTTAGAAATGCTGAGTAGATGGTTGGCGGGTGCTGTGATGTGGGTTGCTCCTTCTTCTTATTGAACATCTATCATCCTTATCTCTCCTCCTTCTTTTCTTTGTATGTTACTCCCAAGTAAACCTCTAATTTTCGGAACTTATATGGTATATTTATGTTGCTAGTGCTATAAAACTCTGACTAAGAAATGCTGTATTGTGTCCAGAAAATATATACTGCAATAATTTTTTATTTTAAAAAGAAGTTAAGTTATGTTTTTTTTGCAATGTAATGCTTAGGAAAAAATTGAAAGAAAGGAGAAGGAGCTGAATATATCAGAGGTAGTAGAGATGAACACCTCAACATTGCCAGCAAGCTGTTCAACTGGTCCTTGCCCAAAAAACAAAATCTTTCCAGGGAAAGAAAAAAATACTATTTCATTGTTTTAACACTTGCACATATAAGGTTCATTATGTATTTTTTTCTTGATTTTATTTTAACCAACATTTACATGTAGAATTTGAATTTCAACAAAATATTTCTCGAGCACTTGCAACATGTACTACAGATTAAGAAACTGCAAATTCAAAGTTTTGGCCTTTTTCCATCTGAACAGCTGGCCGGCTCTATCAAAGATCGTACGCATCAAGATGGTTCACTCAGCCAAAATAATGTCCGCAACCACATTGCTTGAGGTGACGCTGCAGTCTCTGTTTTGAAACTCTCTTTTGTTTCTCCAGAAGAAGAATAGGAATAGCACAACTTGTTAGTTTCACTTTAATTTTTTTCTCACTAGTAGGGTAACTCTGCACGCGAAGAGGGTGCCACTGGATTTTGAGGACACTTTTTTAATTGGCTCAAAAAGAGGGGTGAACTATCTTGTTATGTACGATCTTTGACGGTATATAATGTTAGTATCGTTTAATTATTTCTTCACTATTGCTACATGTAACAATGTAAAGTTTGGTAGATATAGCTGAGTTCACCTGCTAGATCTCAAGGATAGTCAGCCACTGGTTCTACAACCTGCAGTGCAACTGATTTTTATATATTTGACCGTTTTTCCTATTTCGATGTTCCGCTTGCCTTTCACAGCGCCGAAAACTGGCCGAAATCGTGCCTCTTAGTGTCTTAGCCTAGCGACACCTGGAAGTAATTAAGTCACCATCGGAACCACTCCGGGTGGGGTTACGTGGGGGTCACTGGTTGCTCCTGCGGGCAGGTCATGGTGTAATCGACACTTTTGACACTAAATATAGGCAGTATCCTCACTGCAACCACAAAATATTTCATACCTGAAGAAAAGACCAAGTTTCCCTCTGACAGTCTGCGAAAACCCAACCTAAATGCGATCATATTTGCTTGTGTTACTGTGTGCACAAAATGTTCTCAATTTCAACTAATTTAATGTATCTAAATCGCACTTAAGGCTTATTTAATTTCTAAAGTTGTCTATAAATTTCACAGATTTTTGGTACTTGTATGGAGAACATTGTTTGTAAATTTAATCATTTGGAGAATGGTTGTTGAGACATTCAGTTACATCCATCTGATTCTCATCCAGTGCCTGGTCATTTGCCCGTGTAACTGTGCTTGCTACACATTCTATGCCCTTTAAAGTTCTACAGTTCTTTATCAATTTCAAAGATTATAGTTTCCATTTTTAGGAGACACACTTGCCCTTCATGTGCATGAATTTTATCTTTGTTGATGGGACGATTTTTACGATATTAGTGAAAAATCCCTCAGCCCGTGGTTCATTTTTAACAAGTTGACTAAAAGCTCCTAATGGAGTACACACGCGAGAAACATAACTCATTCTTGAATGAACTTTGCCTAATTTGTGGGTGTAAGAATGTGACTGAAGTTCAAATGCAGCTGAAAAAAAGTCCAAGGCACCTGTGCCATTGCAAAATTGTTGTTTTATTCATTTATTAAATAAAAGACTGGATGACACTGCCAGAAATGCCACCGAGGATTTGTAACATTAATTAAAAGAAGAAGGCCACCTCGTCCCCATTTGTAAAAGCTCGAGATCTGGTCAGACACAGCCAACACATAGGGTGAACATTCGACTGTCAGACTACGCTAAAAGACCACCGTGTTTTCCGATATCGTGTCAGTTTGTCACTAGTCTATTGAAAGAAATTGACTCTTAGTATACGCAAGGAAGGCTATTCCTCCTGTATGCAGTCAATTGTGTCATTTAAGTTTTCATTATCACAAACCTCCCTATAACTCCGCCCCTGTTTAACCTATTTGAAGAAAATAAACGCCAAACAGGGAAGAAATGAATGATCCGAGCAGTAAATATTAGTTTTATAATAGATACAATGGACTGCCTAAGACCTGATAGATATATGTTATGGCTGTAAACAATCGAGTGTTGCTGTGAGCTGGCTGAACTTGCGTGCCGTGTATTAAGAGGTAAATAACAAGACCAAGCCATTGTAGAAAGAAAAAACTATGTCTGATAATGAGCGCACATTTGCTCCAGACAGAATAAACATTACGTATCGAAGTTGCGTGCACTGAGCACACATCCATGGTTCCATAGATATGCTCATTGTACTGTATTGTACCAAAAAATAATAATAAAAGATGTTTTATAATCGAAATTCCGTTACAAGCACTTAAGATTTGGTCATTCAACAAAAATCCCCAAATATGGATTACTACTTTACCGACTGAAATGTTCTGTGGAATGAGGATACCCACTTGTGTTGTCTTTACTCTGAGAGAGTTTTGGTGAATTTCACAGACTACTTTGATTGTTACATAACTTTGAAGTAGATGAACATTACCCTCATTCCCACGGCTATGACGGCTGTTTTCAGTCAAATGTAGCCAAAAAAACTATTCTGGATATTATCACGTTTTCACAGTCCAGACTTTGAAAGTAAAATTTCATTGATTGATGGAACGCTTCGTGTATGTTGACAGCTCTGTTGTCTTTGGTGAGCTTTAAAACAAAAGTGTGTAGAATTGCCTTGGTATGTAACCCCGTGCGTGGAGTGAGCTCAGGTAGACTGACGGCCTGCCAAAACTGAACAACCGCAGATTAGGCGTTGTGCTTTAGGCAGTCACTTTCCGATTTTGAAGGTTCTCTATATGTTTTCACTCTGACTTTAGAGTATTTTCAGTTTTAGTTGGAACTCATTTTGAATTCAGCGAAGTTCTCCTGATGTGCATCAGACTTCTTTAGTTTCTCATTTATGTATTTCTTTTGGGTGATGATGATTATTATGAAATCAATAAATGCTGTCTTACATTTATCATCATCAAACAGCTGAATTTATTACATTTACGTTGATGAGAAGGTGCTTTCCAGATGAGAAATTCTGTTTAAAAATTCTCATTTTTCTTCACGTCAAAAGCCCACATTTCTAGTTTCGTGTCCACAACAGGAAAATACTGCCGTTTTAACATCAACTGTCCCAGGAAGATGGTCCCTAGAGCGTCATTCAAAGATTTCAACAAAGATTGCCCTCTGACAGAGATAGGCAAGGCCCAGGCGAGGATAACAGGTGAAATAGGATATTGTTTGCGAACACTTACAGGAGTATGTGTGATTACTGTAGTTTTGTGTGTGTTCGAATGTGTATGTGCACATGCGTATATATGTTTATGTAGCTGTGTGCATATTTATGTGTTTGTGAAACTTTACGTGTCTTGTCTTATATTTATATTATATTTGTTTGTGTTGGAGTACAGTTGTATGTGTATTTTTGTCTGTAGTCTGTATGTATACATCTTAACACCATTAGGATGTTGCAAACAAACGAGGCCTCATCCTTTGTGGGCGTGTGAATTGATACATGTGTATAGGTGTGTATATTTATGGTTTTTTATTTGAAAGACTTGTGGCATTGCATTTGTTTCAGTCTGTGTGTATACTTGTATCAAGTTTCTCTACTGTTTATGGGTCTGTTTGTATCTTTGAGTGTCTTTATGTTTGAAAAAAAAATTCACCTTTTCAAAGCTAGATAGAGGATATCATTGCATTCATCATAAGATCCAATACAGGAGAGTTGTTTTTTTCTCGCACAATGAATTCTGCACAGCATTTTTTTATTTCAGTCAAAAATTGTAGTCAAATATAACCCCCAAAAGGGACTTCTTAATAAGTATGAAAAGCGGATAACTCCAAAATGTCATGATAAGTTTTCAGAAAATTAAAGAATATGAGAGAGCTGAATCAGGATCATGATTTTGGCATGTTTTATTTTCCCATTAAAAACTGGGAAGAAAGTAACAAAGCTAAACCTCCTAGAATTCATTTTGTTTATTCTGGAATGATGCTGACCATATTATCGCTAGCCCCGTGATTCAACCGCCTAAGTGACAAAATTTTCGAAAATTACTTTTTGATCCCTTTATGCAGTTCAGCCTTTAATACACCTAATGTTAAAATCCCGAGTTTGAAAGATTACTGCAAAGTGTTTCAATCCTTTAGTAAATCAATCACTTATGTCACACTAGTCCCCAATTTCCACGTGATTCAACCACCCAAGTGCTAGTTTTGCAGCTTGGCAGCGAATGGGCAGTTGAATCAGGCAGATTCAGCAGGTTGTTGAGGTCATATAGGTGGAGTGACCCGCACGACTGTTGCTTTTGTCAAAACAGACTGGAGGGTAACATCAAAATCACCATAGTTTGCATGATCTATCACTATGTTTAGTAGTGTAGTTGAGAAATGGCAAGATGGCATCAAAGAATTTGTTAATAGTGACTCAACAAGGTCGGTAAATTGTGGCAAAATTTACTAACGAATTAATTTTTTTTAAAAGTCTATGACTGACAGCTAAGGGCGCTTATTTCACATTCAGTACACTTATTGGAAAATATTTTTATCGTGACTTTTCACGTTTCTCACGCCCCTTACTGTGTCTGTCATGTACCTTTCTTGAATCTGTAATTAGTTAATCAGTGCCGGGGAGATGATACTTAATTTGTCACTCAAAAAAAAAAGCAACTCATAAACATATTCGGCCCGAAAATTCTCTCAACAAACCTTCAACTTCAACTCTCCAACCCTACACTTCAATTTGAAACAAATCTCTTACATTCTGCCAATATGCAAAACAATAAGTTTATATACAACTGTCCTCACACTGTGGTTATTCATGACTGTTGCAGAGACAGTTTGCCTGACTTGGAGATGGGAGTTCTACAATAGTCAAATTACCAGAGAGCAGAAGAGGACAAACAATTTTGTGATAAGTAATTCGTCGACAAACTTGACGAAATTGCTTTCCCTTTACTACAGAAGAACACAGACAAAATCTATCTTGACTAACCCTTTTGAAGCCTCTGAGGCCTTTATAGAGAGTACCAAAGAAAACGGAAAGAGTCACTCATTGTCCCACACAACTTTGGAGAAACATTCAAAAAGCTACCTGTTGTTTTTTGTATGTCGGAAGGATCAATGTGATGTATGCAGAATCTTACAAGAAGCTTGTCCAAAAGCCAGTGGATGGGACCAGATTTTGTCTAGTGTGCATGAACTTGGAAGTGGATTTGTTAATACGGCGTTGAACACATCTGCTGCACTATATCATCACAGGACCAAATTAGCTGTCTATATTTTTTTTAATTTGGTAACCAAAGATGTGAAGTGTCACACTGGGCACGAAGGAGAAGGACCATTTGATTGCCAATGAATTCTCTTCTTGTGTCAGTAATTTCCTGGAGGAGATACTGACAATAAACATGCCATGTTCATTATATACAGTGATGGCTGTACTTATCGGACCACAACGCTATCTTGCCAAATTCAATCACCAACGTTTGTACAAGATAGAGCAAAACTGTTGAACACAAATTCCTTTAAAAGGAACAAACACAAATGGAAGTGGACAGCACACACAGTGTAATCGAAATGACCCTGAAAAATGGTATGGTCTATGTCCTCATGAAGAATCTAGAAATTTTTTAAGAAAGCAAGAC